GCAAGACATCCAAAACTAAAAATGTCCGAGGAAGCTCCAGCTGAAGGATTTTTGCTGCGCATCAGTTCAGGTGCAGTGTAATTTAGGGACGGCTGCACTGGCAGTATTGAATCCTCAACGTCATATTCCTGCACGGTCCATATCAAACGTCAAAGCCATCATATGGATATGCATATGACAACAAATAGATATGCATATCAGTCTAGTAATATTTTCGGGTTTCAACTCACAGAATAGTGGAATGATTGCATGTTATCCAAATTCCCAGCCTGTGCTGATGAAATAGCAAAACCAAACCCGGCAAGCTTCCAAGAACCAGATGAAGTAATAAGAACATTCTGCAAGGAAGTTACAGCTCCACATATTAAGAAACATATACATATAACCTTCCAAGAAGAGAAGCAAGTATGAGTAAGAATTTTGAGAAAGTAACCTCTGGAGATATGGCTCGATGGATGAGATGGGCGTTGTTGTGTAGAAAGTTCAGCGTCTCAGAAATCTGGAGAAGACCATGCTTCACCTCCAACAAGCTCATCTCCTGTACAATTATAGCAGATAATAAACAATCAGACATTCCCTCGGTCAAATTTAAGACCACTACCATAAGGCAATTGTCTCGAAACCAAGGTCGAACTCAAATTGAGTGGAATCACAGCAAACAACGAGAGAAAACGGATATATGACGCTAACAGAGAGCACAAACAGAGGATAACTCACCATTGACTTCAGATCTTTCGGCACATTAGCCACATTCTCAACATTCCCAAGCGCATTAGCCACAGAGGCGAAAAGCGGCTCCGTAACTAAAGCCATAGCATTTTTGTTCTCGTCGAGTGCCTGCACCACGTGTACCACACCGGGATGCCTCAACCGCACCAGCTTCCCGGCATCAGCTCGAATCAGATCAAGAAACGCGTCCTCGGCGGCTTTAGACAGCCCTGCTCGGACACGAGCCTCCGACAAGGCGCGCTTGTCAAGCATCCAGACGCAGACGGTCGGGTACTGCTGGGAGCGCGTGGCGTCACGCGCCTTGGCGGCGTAAAGCTTCCAGGCGAGGCCAGGGCCAGCGGAACCGATCTGGTCGAGGAGCTCGTAGTCCTGAAGAGGCTTAGGTCCCGTGACTTCCTGGACTGTGGTGTGAACCGTCTTCTCGATCACGGCGGCTGTTCTAGCCAGAGCTTGAGTAAACGTTTTCATGTTAATCGACATTTTCTCCCGGATTTTTGACAGTTGCTCCCTAAATGTAGTCGGCGACGACGTGAAAAATCGGTGATCCGACGAGAGATCTACGAACAAAGCAGAGAGGAGAATTCGTATTTAACCGGGATCGAGGGAGGAAGACGATGGCGGATAGAAGCAGAAGTCTGGATCGAAGATCAGATCGTCTTCTTCCTCCCCACCTCTCTCACCTCTCTCGGCAACTTGTCTGTTTGATTTTTCTTTTCTATTTTTCCTTAATTGCAACAAACAACAACAGTGTTTTTTACATTTCTTTTCTCACTCCATTTTTTAATAATTTTATCTATTTGCCAAACCAGTCCTTGTTCTTGTCTTGAGATGAAAGTAACATTAAGAATAAACAGTCCCGTGGCCTCATCGTCGGCGATTACCAGTAGTCATTACAGGAGCAGGAAGAATCTTTGAAATGGTGAAACCGATTCGAATCTCTCACAAGAATCTCTTTTCCCAAAAGCTTAGAGGCCAATTTCATGAAGTTATGGCAGTCAATACAGATCCTTATGTTCTTCATTATCTGTATCAAATTCACAGCAGCACCACCATCATCTTCTGATCGTTTTCTTCCCTCCATCACTGCAAACGCTAATGCCAGTTTCTCACTGTGATGCAACAAATGCTCTTCCTTCTGCTCTTCCTCTTCTATATCTTGCAAAGCTGACCTCATCTCTGGAACATAACCCATCTCCTTTAACCGACCAATCAGCCTCTCCAATTCCCTGTAAATGGCTTCCCTGTCTGCACGGCGCCGTCCTCCAGATGCGAATTCATGAACCTTGTTTCCTATCTCGGTCCAGCTCAAGCCTGGTTCTTTCCTCACTCTCCATGTCTCCATCTCCTTCCTGCTTTTATTGGCTTCGCTGAAGCTACCTTCTGCACTGTATATGTTTGACATCTGGATGTAACTCGATGAGTTTGTTGGTTCCATCTCTTTCAGTTTCTCTGCCGCTAACTTACCCAACCTGGTGTTACCATGTTTCCTACACGATCCCAACAACGCACTCCAAACTACAGCATCTGGGTCCATTGGCATCTTTTTTAATACTTCTTCTGCCTCGGCAAAACGCTCAGCTCGGCCTAGCATGTCGATCACACAAGCGTAGTGATTCAGCTGAGGAAGAGTTTCAGGTTTCTCAAACATGGATCTGAATATTTTCATTCCTTCTTCTACTCGTCCAGCGTGGCTGCAAGCCGAGAGAAGGGCTATGAAGGTAGCTGAATCGGGCTTCATGTCCATTTGCTGAAAGACCGCTAGAATTGAGTCTACTTGGCCGTGCAACGAGTAAGCCTTAAGCATTGAGTTCCAAGACACCACATCCCGCGAATCCATATCATCAAATACACGTTTACACAAGTCAAGAGAGCCACACTTGGCATAAGCATGGATTAACGAGTTGTTCAACACCGTGTCAGCGGCAAAACCACCTTTCATGACTTGAGCGTGTATAGTTAAAGCGTGGCGAGCTGTGACAAGTCCCGCACAAGCTTTTAGTACACTTGAGAAAGTATACCAGTCAGGGCTTACATTCTCGTGACGTAACTGAGCAAAGAGATGAATAGCCTTCTCTGGATCATACACTGCAAACGCTGTTATAATCCCAGTCCAAGCAACAATATCCCTGCAATGGCTCATTTCCATAAAAAGCTTGTAGCATTCGGTAAACTCTCCTAAAACTTCTGAATAAACTTTAATCAATGCAGTAGCCACTTCGGTCTGAGTCACCAACCCGGATTTTACAGTCAGTGAATGCAGCTGCAGACAACACTTCGAAACATCATCAGGAACTAAGTCGGAGCTTTTGTACAAGGAAGAACATATATTAAGCAACGTGGCGCGATCAAATCCCACTCCATCACTATGCATCCGCTTAAAAACACCAACGGCCTGTTTCCCGAGATTGCAACACTGAAAAGCTGCGATCATTGAGTTCCAAGTTACCAAATTCTTAAACTCCATGGCCTCAAACACAGTCCAAGCCTCATACGCTGCGGCACCATCACGACACCTACCGTACATAGAGATAAGCGCATTCGCCACATAAATCGAACAATGTAAACCCAGTTTCAAAGCAAGTCCGTGTACCTGCTTGCCAGGCTCATACCGGCATGAAGTCAACACGTTCGACAACGCAAACTCGTTAGGGAAGCAGTGGGATAACATATCCGAGAATAGACAGAAACCTTCTTGCTCGTTCCCTGTTTGCGCATAGCCTGTGATCAACGCAGTCCACGAAACTACATTCCTATCAGGCATTTCATCGAACACTTGGCGTGCGTTCAAGATATTCCCGCATTTCGCGTACATGGTGATAAGATGGTTCGCGAGGAAAAGGTTCTGGGAATAAGAATGAGGATGTGAGAGCATGTGGTGGTGTAAATTGATGCCGTGGCGGAGATTGCGTTGCTCTGTGCATGCTTGAAACAGAGCACCGTAAGCTTGATCTGACTGAAGCTCTGCCGGCGCACAATAGAACAATGAAACAGCTCGTCGGAGGTCACCGGACCTCACTAACGTACGCAGCCCTTCAACAAGTTCGTGTTTCCGTGCTAAAGGTGAAGCAGAGCTAAAGCGCCTCAAGCTCCCAATAGAGATATGCGATACGCTTGTCATCATCAACGCTCCGAATTCATTTACCGAAATACATATAACCAAACAGAGGAGGAAGATGATCGGAGCTCCGGCGATCAGTCGCACCTACCGGGTATAACCAAATCGTCGATGTTCCCATTTTTGACTTGCAATTTCCATTAATATGATAAAAAAAGAATTTTTCTATATTTTTTAACCGTATGAAAAAATATCCTTTTTTCTATATTTTTTAACCGTATGAAAAAATATCCTTTTTTATTTATAAATACACACAATTTGGAAATTATAAATTGAATGTTAAACTAAAACCCTAAAGCGATAGCGGCGACTTTAAGATCCTGTCTCGGTAATTCTCACGATTCTCTTCTTCTCCAAAGTTTGGAAAATCATGGAAGGGAAAAAAATTTGCGGAGATCTTTTGGAATTGGAACATAAGATTCCATCTTCTTCTTCCTCCGCTATAGAGTCGGCACTTTTGGTCTGCAAGGGGAAGACGAAGAAGAAGAAGAAAGAGAAGAAGGAGGAGGCTCCATCGAAGCCTACGATTGCTCCAGTTCCCAGAAGCGAATTTCTTGACAAGGTGAAAGGATTCATAGGGATCATGGCGGAAGCAAACAAACGGTTGGAGGAAGAAGCAGAGGGAAACTCGGAAGCTTTTGATATCGAAGCACTTACGGGAAACGAATCCGAAGTAATCGAAATGAATTTGATGGTCGGTGTCGCTGATCTCAACACTCCCGAAGCAGTCAGTGCGGCTGAAGCAGCCATTGCCGGCAAGAATCTTGCAGCTGAAAGTGGAGACTCCAGCAGCGATGACAGTGATAGCGACGAGGAGGAGAGTGACAGCGACGACGAGGACGAGGGGAAGATCGAATGTAGCAGAAAACCAGCCAAACGAGCCAAGATTATTGAGCTCTCTTAAAAAGATGTTTCTTTTCTCAATTTCAATATTCTACTTTGTATGAATTTTTTTTGCCTAATGTTAACGTTGAGAATATGATGCATTACTTATGATTGGGCAAAACACAAAGACTTTGAAATCATATGTTTGGAAAATTGATTGAATTCAAGTCACTTGCAAAAGATGTTGGACAAACTATATACGTTCATAGTCGCAAACCATAAAGAAAAGAGATGAAATTCTCAATAGGGTGGTGTGTGTACGGCGATGGTCTTAACTTTCTTCGTCAACAAGAACTGTGGAGCCGTCACAGATTCCAACTTCCAGTAATGTTGCTTTCTCGTCATCTAATGCTGTAGGGAAAGGTGAGCCCTGCCATAGAAATATAGATTTGTTCCATTGATATGAACACAGAACACTATCGATCGATATACAAAGACTCGTATAGTCAAACCGTGGTTTCATTCAAGTTAGTAGTAATTTATTAACATAGTAAAGATACCTCTCCTTCCTGCAGAAATAATCTTGTCTTGATGGACTTGAGCTTGAAAAGGTTCTGACATAACATCTTTAGCTTCCCCACCTGTCACAAACACCAATCGAAAGCTTCAATTTAAAATTTTCACATTTTCACGGTTTAGACATTAGATTCTCAACACAAAGGACGAAGTAACAACCGTACCGTGATCCTGCCTGGTAACTTCTCTGTCAGCTGAGGCTTTTCACCCATCGATGGACCAACGCATTTGAGAGTAATGGCTGCATATGTGTCATAGCGATATAAAAGCAGTCTATAGAACTAGTGAACCATAACATAAGAAACGCTTTAAAAAAAACATACAGATAAGTCCAGATGCTATATTCTTAGGGCCGGTGTTCTCAGCTGATGCTCTTTCATCCTCAAGTCCATGAAACTTCTTGAGTTCATTAAACCTGAAATATCACAAACTTCTTCTGGTGAAACTTGCATGGAAAGAAGAAAACAGGATTTGAAAACCAACGTGGGTACTCTTTACTATTTTGTTTGTGAAGATTAGACTTGAAGAAGATATTTAGTTTTGCAAAATATACCTAGGGTGGAGCAGTTCAATCTCCTCAGACATGTTATTCACCTTTGACATCACCATTCGGACATACCTGCGATCATCGTAAACAAAAGTAAGCATAGTCCTGCCGCTGAAATCAAACAACAAGATAAGAAGAGTTGATGACATACCGGATCTCAGATTCCTTCTTCTCACGAGCTCTGACCTGAAAACTCGATAGATTCAGATTTAAAGAGCATTGAAAGGTAACTAAATGTTGAACAATTTTTCAGGCACTTGTTTCTACCTCACTCCCATTCAGCACTTGTACTTTCGTCAACCGTGCAACAAGAACAAACCTTGGGACACCGCCTCTTACAGGATCAGTTATCGGGTTATCCGAAAGCCTGATGTCCTATTATTTGAAGAGGGAATTTCAGTTAAAGTATACAATTTTCAAAGGTCTAGCTAGCTTCATAATGAACATCTAAGAATTGCAAGAAACACCGAAAATGCTGGTGGCTAATCAATGCTCATGCCTGGTCTATTAGAGTATCACAGAACAAAAGATCAATACCACCAACTTAGGAAACACATTTAGCGCGTCTATCGAGGCCAGATCACCAATGTTGTTAGCTCCTGAAACAATACAACGGGTGGGATAAATGGCCAAATTTCAAGAAACGGGAAATAACACTTGAGAGATTACCTAGAAGAAGACAACTCAGACTTGGAAATGGATCGCCGCTTTTCTTTGTTGAATCATTGCCATTGACAGAGTGAAAGATGCGTAACAGCTTATTCTTGTTCAGGTAAAGCTGCTCCAAGCTGAGAAACAACGTTTAGATGATCAATATTAACAAGTATCAACAGTGCAATGTTTATTATGGGTCCATCAACTAAGAGCAGAAACGAAATATTTATTGCTGACCATGGAAGTTGAGATAGCTTTAATACTTCACTCCATTCAGAGATACAATTATCATCCAAGTTCAGAAGTCGCAGAGAACTAAATGCTTCATCATCTGAGGATGACGTCGACTGCATGATGCAACCAGGGGGGGTTAAAAATGAACCTTTAAAAAGGATTTCACAATTCACAAACTGAACACCCAAGTTTTCAAAGCAGAAGAAAGGTGTTGGATGAGTGTTATTCAAGTCTGTCTTCAAAGAAACCAAACCGTTTTCAAAGTATGTGCAGAGATCATGTCCTACTAAGGCGCAACCACGCAAACATTGGGACTACAATATTAAAACATTACCGTTATGGCAGATATCATGTTCCCCATCAGATGCAACTCTTCAATTCCAGGTAACGAGCGCCTCAGATTTTCAACCTGCTCCATTATGATCAGAGCCATAAAAGTTATAAAAAAAAAGTGGCGATGTTATGAAATTAGTTCAAGAGAAAAAGTAACAGGTCAGGTAAAGAATCATAGATCACCTGAGTCCAGCTCATACCACTATTATTCAGAACCAAAACACGGATATTTTTTAACTGTGGCAGAGAGATGACATCACTTGACAGAGAATTGCAAGACAAATTGAGGGTTGTAAGCGATGGTAACTGTTCACAAAGAGCACCAATTTCCTGGAAACCAGAAACAAACGATCAATCATAAACTCTAAATATATGAATATCTTCTAGCAATGTTCTCAATGCTGGATAAAATCTAAGACTCATACATATGTTACTAGCAATGTCACAGAACAGCCAAGCATACCTTCCAGTCAGAAATCAAGTTTCCAGTTAAGTCCAGCAGCTTCAAATCTGGAACAGAGGACGCATATGAAACAAGTAACGTTTTAAAAAATGTTCATTGAAAGGCATTGAGCAAGAGAAAGAGTCACGCGAGTGATTTGATAGTGGCAGGGCTGAAAGTAGATTGAGTCTTACTTGGTAGAATTGAACCCAAATCAGATGAATCTCCAAGAGAGCTAACACCAAGATAAGGAAGAGAAGCACTCGTGAGCTCATCAAACCGACTTAACTTATCCTGGATCTTGTCCCCTCCCAAAAGTTGAATCGAAACTCGTTTGTTCTTCGCAGAGAGAACATACATTTCGTCTAACAACAACAAAAAGAAGGAGATACATTATTTCAAAACCAAAATTTTCAAAAATTCATCTCAACGAAATCTATCTAACCAAAAGAAATGTACACTGAGCAAAGCTAGAACAATAGTGGAGAGAATAAACCAATGCAGACCTTCTTCGTCTTTAGTGGAAGTCGTTCGGTATCTGAGCTCCAAGGCTTGAAGCAGCGTGATACCGTGACTGAGATTCTGGGAGCGAACAAAGGATGCTGAGCTCTGGGAACGGCCGTGGAAATAGAAAACGCCATTGAGGGAACCGTCATGCTTCCCATCGCCGTCTTGATCCCAATCAACGCCGATCCAGGTTCCGGAGTACCCCTCCACACCTCCGACGTACTTCACGGTGCCCACTCGACGCGGATCGTTGAGCGAGTGGACTCGTTGCCCGATTATAAAAGACTCGTTACTTGACTCGGCCATTTTTCCCAAACGTCCAAAATTACACAACACTGATGGAGAAGGAGTGATATAAAAAAAATGTTGTAATGCCCGTTAATTGTAATGGGCTTTAGTGGGCCTCAGATTGTTTAAAGCTAAATGGTTGGTAAAAGCTAAATGAGCCAATATTCTCCTACGTTTGGAAAAAGCCCATAAGGACAAAGAAGTCAAAGGACTCTCACGCCGACATTACACAGTACGTATATATATGGTCAAAGGAGCTAAAAGTGGTATCTCATGGCGTTGTTCGGACGAAAGGAGTGTACTTAAGCATTGGATTAAACTAATACTAATAATTAAGACTTAAGTACATCCAAAAAATAGGAATCCAGCTGCAACTCACCACCATTTTGTATTTTTAACTTAAGTCACCAAAATAGGGATCCAGCTGCAATTCACCACTACTTCTTTCACATTCACGCACACACTCATCTCTCTTTCTCTCGATCTTCATCATCTATACTCTTATGAGGCCCAATGAACATCTTCCATTGTTGAGAAACCACAATTTCCTTTTTAATTTAATTTATTTTAGTAACTAAATAAAATCTTTCAACACTAGTTTTTTTTTTTAATATATAAGGTATTGAATGAAAGCATACATCATTGTATCTTTTACTATGAGGAGAGTTTTTGGGTTCGATTCATTGTTTTTCCTCTACGCGTAAGACCCATTTCTAGTGCTTACCCTGAGATAAAACCCAAATTACCAAAAAAAAAAAACAAAGAACAAAAGGGAAAGAAGAGAGAAGAAGAATCCATCAGATTTGGATTCTTTTTGTTCGTAATATTCTTAGGTTGATTTAGTAACAAAGTACGAATGATTTTGTTCCTGCACCTTTATCATAACAGAAACTGTATAAGACAATGAAGTCGGTGGTCTAAAGAAACTTTTGTTTTCTCCTGGACTGGTTCTTCTTCTATCTTTCTAAACTCACAGTCACACATGTTTTTTGTTATAAAGTTAAAAAGACCATAGTCACACATGTCTTAACAACATTAGTTCTTCTTTTTCATTTTTTTGTTGTTATTCAAACTACTCTGTTTCTGTCTTCTTTAAACCTTATCTTTTTATCTGCTGTCTTTCCCGACAAAGAAAACAAAAACGGTTCTCCTTTTCAAACCAAGACTATTCCCTCTTACGCTCTTGTCAAGCAAAATAGATAAGTGACTTTATTATATGTTTGTGATTAAACCTTAAACCTTTTTTTAAAACGCATTAATCATTTTAAGCTACAAATAAATCGAACATTTTTTTCAGAGCATACGGTAACAAACGCCAATTCTTTACCAGCAACAAATATCCTTTTTGGTAGTTTTTAAAGATTCTAGTTTACAAAACCAAATAACATAAAACTTGGATTTTAAAAGTTTTTGGATTAGTCTGAATTTCAACTTAGAATTTACTCCCTCCCTCTGTTTTTTATATATAATATTTTAGAGATTATTTTTTGTTCAAAAATAGTTGATATTTTCACATATATATACAGAAATTAATTGTATTTTTATTGTTTTAAGTGTTTGAATTTTGTATATTATTTTCCTATTGGTTCAATTGTTTTAAAATTGATGATAAAGCACGTTTTGTTTTGAAAAAATACAAAATTAAATAATTTTTTAATCTATGTATAAAAACCTTAAACATCATATATAAAAAAAAGCGGAGGCAGTATTTGTTATAAAAAAATATAAAAAAAACCAAAATTATTTATTCTTTTCTTTTTGAATTGACTCTGGAAGAGTTTGATCCAATGATCTTTGACATTTGTTTTAGTAAAAATCCACTTTTTCCACCAACCCTTTAGCATCACAAAGTTATGGAACGGATCATCAAAGGGTCCACAGGTGATGCAAGAAAACCGCGTCTTGTATAGCAAAATCCAAATTCATCCACTCTCTCTGCTTCTCTCTACTACCTCCCATGTCTTCACTACACTTCTTTTCTTTTAAAAAACAAAATCCAGATTCTGCCTCCTTCCTAAAGATTCTCATTATTATAATCACAAATAATACTATTTAAGTGAATCTACAGTTCCATTGAGGATAATAACACTTGTTAAACCCACAAACCAGCTGTGAAGTTTCCTGGAAGCTACACTTTTGAAGCTTTGGGATATTATAAAACGTGTAACAGAGTTTTATCTGCTGTTTAAGTTTCTAATCCACACCTATAAATAACTGCCAACAATTGTTAACATTCCAACATCAGAATCCAAGCAGACAAATTACAAAAAGACCAAACATTCCGAGAAAACCTTAGTGTTTGTGTGTGTGTTTGTTCATGGCTGGTCTTAGTAATCCAAGTAACAGTGCGCAAAATGATGGTCAAGCCGGTATACCGTCTGCCTACAGAGGAGTCCGGAAGAGGAAATGGGGCAAATGGGTGTCTGAAATCCGTGAACCGGGGACCAAGAACCGTATCTGGCTAGGCAGTTTCGAGACTCCTGAAATGGCTGCAACCGCCTATGACGTGGCAGCATTCCATTTCAGGGGAAGAGAGGCTCGTCTCAACTTCCCTGAGCTTGCCAGCACCCTGCCACGTCCTGCAGACTCAAGCTCAGACAGCGTTCGCATGGCGGCTCACCAGGCAGCACTCTGCCTCAGAACAGAGCCGGTAGAGTCAGCCATGCAAGTGGACACCATAAGCTCCTCCAACGTAGCTCCAACGATGGTCAGGCTCTCTCCCAGAGAAATTCAAGCGATCAACGAGTCGACCTTGGGATCTCCCACCATGTTGATGCATTCAACATATGACTCAATGGGGTTTGCCTATGATGTGGGGATGAATGTTTGGGACACATACCAATACCAGACTGACTCTCTTTGGGACCCTTGAATCCCAAACTCATGGAGAGAGCTTCTACAGCTCAATATTACAACACTCGGTTCATAGAATGCTTAGTTATTAGGGTTTAGTTTCCAGAGTCTAGCAAAAGGGTTGTTGATTCTGACGTTATGGCAAAAGAATAAAGCTCATCTGAGTTTTGGAGGGAAGGGCACACATGCATTCTTCTAAAAGAACAGATGAGCTTGATGGGTCCCAGATATGGACCTCTTCACAATTATTTTTTAAGATTATTTGTCACATAGCTTCTATTTTATAAGCTGTGTTAGTAGAGATTGTGAGGTGTGACTTATTTTTTATTTATTCTTCAATTGTTTGTTACCCCATATACTTATGTAATTCAATATGAATTTGTCGTTCAGTAACCTGGATTTGGTTTGGTATTATGTTGTATGGATTCCTAAAAAAATTATAAGATATTTTTTTTATTATAACTAGACTTGTGCTTTCTTTTGACTTTCTTCCCTTCAAGAACCATTGACTAATCTTTAAAAAAAAAGTCTACATTTTCATACTGCAAGACTTTTTACAAGAACACCAAGTTTTCAATTTAGTTCTTCCATTTTCTGGAACCAAAATCAGTATATACAAGAAATGCAAACAAGAAAACAGAATATTCTTTGAAGAAATCTTCGAGCAACTTACTTGATGCCTTTGAGAGAAGCAAAGAAGATATCTGAATCTGCAGTTACTTATGCAAGGATGACGAGGAACTCATGTCCACAAGTCTTTGCGCCTCTTCGACACGACCAAACCGATTGAGAAGTTCGATGACCATCGAATAGTGATCTTCTGATGGCTGCAATTTGTAAATCCGATGCATCAAGTTGAAGAAGCGACAAGCTTCATCAGCAAATCCGGCTTGACTGCAAATAGATAAAACCGCTGTAAAAGTGAATGCGTTGGGAGTAAACCCTTTCGATATCATTTGCTCAAAACAGTTAATCGCATCCCTTAAGCGTCCATTGCATCCATAGGCCTCTATAATGGCGGTCCATGTCAGAGAGCCCTTGACAGAAACAGTATCGAAAGAGAAGTTAGCACTTCTGAGATCTCCACATTGTCCATACATCTTGATGATTCTTGCAGAAACAAAAGGGATCGAGTCAAATTCCTTCTTCAGAATGTGTCCGTGTACCTCCTTCCCCAGCTTCAATGCCTTGAGCTCACTGCAAACAGTCAAAACCCTACCCATCGTAACGGAATCCGGCCTGTGCTTTGATAACAGCATTGATCTAAACACCTCGATCCCTGCTCTTAGATCACCGTTTTCCACATAGCAGTCAATCATGGCGGTCCACGCTTTCACATTCCTTTGCTCCAACCTCTCAAACAATCTGACAGGATATTTCGGAACACCGCACTTCGAGTACATCACCATCAAGGAAGTGACTAATGAAACATTCGGCAAGAAGAGATTCTTTATAGCATAGCAATGGATCTCCTTTCCTTGCTTTATAGCTCTCAGCTCCGCACACACAGGAAGCACAGTAGCAATAGTAACAACATCTGGTCTAAAGCCTTCCTGCTGCATCCATACGATCGACCTCAGAGCTTGATCAAATCTTCCGTTAGCTGCATATCCAGACATCAGTGCAGTCCAGGAAACGGCAGTCCTCTGTTTGGAGCCGTAGAACACCCGTCTCCCAGAAACCATATCCCCACACTTGCAATAAAAATCAATCAAACCAGAGTGAACAAAGGGATGTTCCAAGTAACTCTTCGATTTCAAAACATGCGCATGGACCTCCTTCCCCAGTTTCAGTGCCTTAACATCCCCAACTACGGGAAGAATCGTTGTGAGTATAACTGAGTTTGGATATATCCCTTCTTGACTCACCATTCTCCTGAACAATCCCAGTGCTTCCCACTGCCTTTTGTTGTGAGCCAATCCAGCGATCATTGTCCCCCACACGACTATATCTCTCTCTTCGATTTCATCAAAGACTCGACGTGCAAGCCTTACTTTGCCACATTTGAAATACATATCAACAAGAGAAGTTTTGAGAAATATACTGTTAAGCAAACCGTTCTTGATCGCAAGGGCATGCGTCTTCAGTCCCTGTCTCAAAGCAGATGCCCCAGCAAAGCTCTTGAATACGTTAGAGAAGCTATAGACATTCAAATCGACTCCTTGCTCTCTCATTTCCGTAAACGTAGAAAGAACATCTTGATACCTCCTCTTCCCTGATATCACGGTCCCTCTAAGCAACGCATTCCAGGAGTAAACGTTTGAGCTAGTACTTTCGTCGAACACCTTCTGTGCGTCCTTGATCGAACCACACGCAGTGTACATATGAACGAGCTTGGTCCCAAGGAACTCGTTATTCTCAAGACCATTGATGCGGATATGAACATGGACCTGCTTACCGTGAATCAGCGATTTCCGGCGAACACAGGCGGCTAAAAGAACGGAGAAAGTCGTCGCATTTACTGGAATTCCTCTCTGTTCGAGATAGTCCAGAATCGTGAGAGCGTCTTCGAGCCTGTTCTGCCTCGCGAAATTTTGGATATCTCTGTGGATACTGTGGGGATTTTTGGAGTGGAGCGGAAGAGAAGAGGGGAAGGCATCTCTGTCCCTAAAAGGTTTGGGATTTTTGGCGGGAGAAATGGAAGGCCGTCTACTTCTGCTGGGTCTAGCCGGCGATTTCGCCGGCGCTCTGTCTTTAAAAGAAGGATGGGGACGGTGGTTGAGGGTCGACGTCACGGGAAGGGACGGTAGGTCTCGGAATCCGAGTGACGAGACTACTTCCATGGTGACACTCTCGCCACTTGATTAAGCTGAGGTCGTTAGTATTTAACTATGTCACTCTTTAATACTACAGTAAGTGGAAAAAAATAGAATCTGGAAACGACTAATTTTTTCCCTAGATTCAATCAAACCAATTTTGCACATAATTATCTCGTACTCATTAGCCAGTCTAATTAAACTCTCTAACTTCGACCGGAGTTTTTTTTTTTTTTTGGTAAAACATCTTATTATATGAATGTTCAAAAAAAAAATATATTATTTTATGAAAACGAGATAGGATGCGAGTAAAATTAAATGCAAGTCACGACAAGAAATGTGAGGGGATTATTCATAAAATTTAATAGATAACAGGAAAAAATAGAATCTGGAAAACTTATGAGTAACTTTTCTCCAATGTGTACGAAATCAAATTCAAATTTGTTATAAGAAGGTTCAACAATTCTCTATAGTTTAAGCCGCCCTATATTGATTTTTAGCTGTAGATAGATGATATAAGTGAATACTGAATATTTCTAAGGAAATATACACAAATGTTAATTTTTCTCCAACAGTGATAAGGCATATATACAAATACAAGAATATAAAATATACTTATTTAAGAATAGGGAAATATAAACAAATGTAAATTTTTCTGAAAACAATATGGAAACATGTTAAAGCCGATCTTGTAACTAACCTATGAATTGTAATAAAACTCGTGTTTGTGTGTATATATATACAGTAGAACTTTTATAAATTAATATTCGATAAATTAATAATTATTATAAATTAATAATTTTTGCCGGTTTCAAGTCGGGTCAATGTTTTTACATTGACAAAATTTGATAAAATAATAAGATAATACAGTTTTTGAAAGTTTTATGTAAAAATATGGTCCCAATAATAATATAAATTAATAATTCTATATTTAGGCATATATATTAATAATTTAATATAGTAAACTATGATAATATTGATGTTTCAAATTTATAAAATTTGCTTGATTTATCTTCTAAATTAATTATTATGACACTTTTTGAATAATTTTATATTGTTTTGATTTTATTTTTTTGATAAATATTAAAAATTCAAATTAAAAATATCTCTATAAATTAATAAAATCGATAAATTAATAATTATTAATTTATCGATTAATTAATAATTTTATAAATTAATAAAATTTGAGAGTCTCAACATTATTAATTTATAGAGGTTTTAAGACATATTCATTATTGTTTACCCACACCACCAGCAAAAATACATATCAAACCTTTTTATCAATCTTCTTCCTCTCTCTTCAATCAATCGTTAGACAATGGCAGACACACAAACAACACCAGAACAGAAGCGAAAAGAGCGAGAACAGAGGCGAAAAGAGCTGTTTCCCGTGCTCCTCGGTGCTCAGATGTTCTGTATTGCTATTCTTATTTCACTTTTAATAAGGCACCATCTCGTGCCGAACATAGAAGTAGCTTCTATGGATTTCACTGTACAAAATATTACACAAACTCGTCTCAGTGCGAATTGGGATTTACTGGTAAGGATTCCCAGAAGCCTTCCTGATAAATTCATATGCCTTCAAGGAGACGTTCAAGCTTCCTTGTTTTACAAGGGTGTTACTCTTGTTACTTCCTCCAAACAGAGGTTAGAGTTTATTTAATATTGTTTGTTTGATTATTTGAGAAGCAACAAAAAAATACAAAAAACAACATTGATCATAAAATGTTCTTGCATAATTTTAGGTACAACAATCTCAAACATCGGTCGCCTCAGCAACTTAGCGTTTCAGCTTCCATCTCTGAAGAAGATATTGGCGGTTTGATCGGAAAAAACATTATCAACGATATCAAAGAGAAGAGAGAAGTCAAGTTTGGATCGCATGTTTTTCTTACGGATTGTAGGGCAAAGACGTCAGGAGTTTTGAGGTACGCGTGTGATGAAACCACGTTACGCTTCGAGCCAGGTTCTGAGCTTAGGGCCACTGCGTCTGGGAGCAACCCTACCTGCGTCAAATTCTAACTAGTTTTGATTGTTATTTATTGAGTTTGCAAAAGATTTGATTATTACTTCTTTTTTTCTACGAAAAAATATGATATGTTTTGGCGGCTAAGAGAATTGCATCTTGGTCCCTATAGTTTTAGTTTGTTACTAATCTAAGACGTATGATTAAATTCCATAATTTTAGTCCCTTTACTTTTTAGCTTGATGCGTATGTGTATTTCAATTTCATAATTTGTTTTTGAAACAAAAAAAATAATCCAAAAATCAAATCCAAATGAGCCACAAAAACGAAGACAAGAAGAAACGACGATGAGCTTCAGTGCTTCTCTCATCTCTTCTTCTTTGGCGCCTTCGTCTCTCGTCTCGCTACACAATCTTCCTCCTTCCTTCTTCCTCGGAAACAAAGTCGTCAAGTCAACAATCGTCACTCGCTCACGGCGTCGATTGACAGCATCATGTAGTCCGGTTGCAAAAGCAGCTGCGTCGTCGGGGACAACCAACGACCTTGTCCCCGAAACGGCTCCGACATCTGCGTCTGAGGTCGTCACCAGCTTCTACGCCGGCATCAACGGCCATGATTTATCCTCCGTCACAGACCTCATCGCTCAGGACTGCGTCTACGAGGATCTCGTCTTCCCATCCCCTTTCGTTGGCCGAAAGGTGAACCGATTCTGATGGACTAATCCCTCTTCTTAAGCTCTCTTTCCCTAATCTCGATAAAACCATGACAGGCAATTCTAGATTTCTTCGGAAAGTTCATCGAATCAACAAGTAAGGATCTGCAGTTCGTGGTAGATGACATTTCAACAGAGGACTCTTCAGCTGTTGGAGTTTCATGGCATTTAGGTGAGCTTTCCAAAAATTCAAATCCATGAAACGGTCTTTGTGATTTAAACTGGAGTGAGTTCTTGACAGAGTGGAAGGGAAAGAATTTCCCATTTAGCAAAGGCTGCAGCTTTTACCGGCTACAAGTAATCGATGGCAAGAGACAGATTGTGTAAGCACACTCTCTTCTCCACACAACTTTGCATCTACTACAGTGGACTGACAGTAATGCCACCAATTTGTGTCTGCAGATATGGAAGGGACTGCGTCGAGCCTGCAATTAAACCTGGAGAAACAGTTTTGGTAACATGAGATTTCTATTCGTTTCTGATTGTGTAGATGCATTTGGAAATTGCAAGGTACAATATGCAGATTCAACATCTTTTGCATTTGTGTTCAGGCTGCTATAAAAGGTGTTACCTGGCTGCTGCAGAAATTTCCTCAATTGGCTGACCAATTCTGATGGGAGTTATAAAGCTTCCCTGCTTGATGAAGTGACTCAGCTTACATATATAAGTTTTCCCTTGTGGTATACAAATTGTTGTCGGTCTGATGATATGCAGGCGTATATACAACTCTGTATGTGCTATTAACTAAATAAAGCTCCAGTTCATCATCCTCAGATCACCTTCATCCTCTTTCTTGAAGAAGCTCTTCCTCTGAGCTTAGCTCCTCATTGATGGCATAACCATTAGCGTCTTTCATCAGCTGATTCAACCCATCTAGCAGCGGATAGGTATCACGTGCTTGAGGGCTTGATATATCCCCCACCGAGAACAATGAAATCTCAGAACCTGTGTCAATCCAAGCACACCCAGGAGCCTTTCTCACACCCAGGTCCCTCATCAAAGTCCTCACTTCAGCGAGCTTTCTCCAAGAACCAGCAGCTGCATACATATTTGCAATCAACACATAGTAACCCGGATTCTCTGGCTTCATCTCCAGGAGCATTTCTGCTGCCCATTCACCAATCTCCGTGTTCCCGTGGATGTGGCAAGCGTTCAGTAGAGTAGCCCATGTGGCACTGGACGGCTCATATGTCATTCTGTGAATTACATCTTTGGCTTTCTCCAGGAGACCTGCTCTGCCATAGAGATCAACCATACAAGCAAAATGTTGAAGACAAGGACGTAGACCATACTCACACTGCATCTTCATAAACAGTATCTGGCCTTCATGGACTAACTTGGAATGGCTGCAAGCTGATAGAACTGCAACCATGGTTATATGGTCAGGTTTAATACCAAACCTGATCATCTCCTTGAACAGGGCCAATGCAACTCGCCCTTCACCCTGGTTTCCGTATCCATCTATCAAGGAAGTGTATGTTACTTCGTCTCTCTCGCTCATCGATTCAGATACTCGCTTTGCAGCTACAATCTCTCCAGATTTCGCATAAACATCCACAAGGGAGTTCCACAGCATTGTATAGTCCTTGAAACACTTGCGCCTCAGGATGTAGCAGTGAAACTCTTTCCCATGTTGAAGGTTTGCAACCCGAGCACAAAGAGGGAGAATGCTTGCAAGAGTAATGGAATTTGGCTGAAAGCCAGCAAGCAACATCTCCCTGAGAAGGTAGCAGGCTTCTTCTGATCTGTTCACCTGCGCATAACCTGAAATGATAGAGTTCCAAGTACTCAAACTATTTTCCTCAATCTGTTCAAACACTACAGATGCGTGCCTAAGGTCATCGCATTTCGAGTACATTGTGATCAACGTGTTTCGAACATTGTCAACCCCATCGTAAAAACTACGAACTGCAAAACCGTGGATCTCTTTGCCCAACCGTCTTGCTCCTAAGAGCGAACAGGCCTTCAAGCCAATAATCACAGCCACGGGATCTAAGCTCGTGGGGAAATTTCTCATTCTAGAGACTAAACCCAACGCTCCCGCATAGTTTCCTGTATGCAAACAACCTCCAGAAATAATATTCCAAGTGATAACACTGACTTCTACACCTGAAACCCACATTTGATTAAAAAGCTCAAACGCTTCACTCCACATGCCTTCCGAGGCATAACAGCTTATCACTGCATTCCACGAGACAGCATCCCTTTCGGACATCCCATCGAACAAACTCCGAGCAACACCCACATTTCCAAACCTTTTATACATTGAGATCAATGCGTTGCAGACATACAAGCTGCACTTGTGAGAGCTGACCTCAATGGATCCATGAACCACCCTTCCAGAGTCAAAGTCAAGAGTTTCGCCACAGGCCTTGAGAACAGACGGATAAGTGAAGGCATCGGGTCGAATTCCCTTGCTCACCATTCGCTTGTAAGCAGAAACAGCCTCCTCAAAAAGCTCGTTCTTGGCGTAAGAACCGATAAGCACATTCCAAGGCAAGGGATGCAGAATGTCTGAGTTCTCACTGATTGATCGAGCTTCGCTGTGGAGATTAAAGGCAGAGTAAAAAGTAACCAGCTTTGGGACTAAAGCCGGGTCATATTCGACACCGGACGTAATACAGTGAGCGTGAATTTGCAGCCCTGCGGAAAATGCACGAACATTGACGCAGGAGGATAAAAGGGAAGCTGCGGAATGCAAAAAGACGTCACCTGAAACAGCAGAAGAAGTCTGAAGACGAAGAAGAGAAAAGGTTTTGAAAGCTTCATGCAAATGACCATGGCTGGCGAAATTTCCAAGACTTTTGAAAATACTATCAATCAGCATTGATTCATTGTGGGTTTCAGAAGTTCTTGGAACGGAGCTAGATGGCTGTTTCAATGATTTGGGACTAAACTTGACGATGTCGGATATGGTGAGACATCATAGGTGGCATATGATTATGATCACAGCTGATCCGAGCACTAGAACAAGCAGACTCAAATAGTTGTTAACTCCTTCTGAAATCAAAGCGGAAGTATAATTAGGCTGCTACAAGGTGAGTAATTTTCATTGAGGCATAGCATCGAACACGTGGTGCGCTGAACATACCATGTACACACTTTAAACCTGAGAGTATATCCATCGCAGAATCGAAGATAATATTATTGATAGTTCTGTGAATGGAGAGAAGAAAGAGAGATTTTTGAAGGGGAGAAGCAATGTGGAAGAAGGCGCGCGAGAATAGCAGAAAATAACGACGATTTCGAAGAAGAAGAAGACTCTCTCCATGGCAAAGTTGCTTGTTGGGTTACCAAAATGGGAGTGAAACTAATGGGTCTTTTACGTAAAGGCCCATATTCTATTTACACCCTTCAGCGAATGAAAATTGTGGCTACCGTTATCCTTCGTCTTCCTCCTCGTTATCCACTTCTCTTTTTCCTTTGTGTGGACAAATGCATTCCCTCTTTTCTCTTACGCTCTCTCTCACTCTCGTCCATGGCGACCACCGCATCTACGTCTCTCCCACGTAACTACTCCTTCACTCCTCCTCGTCCAATTCCCTCTTTCATCCGCGGTTCGCTTCTGGCTAGATCGTTTCCGTGCTATCTCCGCCGCGATCGCCGGTTGGCTCTCACCTACCGATTGGACCAGAATTCGAAGCAGAGGAGTGGTGGGAACGTAAGATGCGAGGCGACGGAGGTATCTTCTTCCTCTGTTACTTCCCCTGGAAGAAACTGGGTGCCGGTTGTGCCGCTATCGGCGCTTCCGAAAGGTGAACGGAGAGTGATTATTCAAGATGATGAGACGATACTGCTGCTTTGGTACAAGAACGATGTGTTCGCGATTGAGAATCGCTCTCCGGCGGAAGGAGCTTACAGCGAGGGACTTCTCAACGCTAAGCTAACTCAGGTTTCTCCGTCTTTGGAAATTTTAGGGTGTTTGTGAGTATATAAGGTGTTTGTGAAAATGCTTGACCGAGTAGGGTGATAGCTTTAGGAAATGAAATGACCCTTATGGGATAGATAGCTTCACCATCATAATTCACCACATGGATTGAGTTACTTCCAAATCAGAAGACAGTGAAATAGGTTTTGATTCCTGGCTGCCTTATTAGCTTTGGTATCATTTGATTCTACAGGAATGTAAATGTCAGATTTTTTTAAAGAGAAGATAGACTAAGAACTCATCATAGCTATGATAAATGAGTAATAAGATTGTATGGGAACTGTTAAATTTCTGCTGTGTTGAAAGTTACTTGATTTCTCACTAAATTAGTTAGTCAGCTGAGATGTTACGGATACTGTATGTGAAAAGGCTCGCTTTATAAACAAAATTGGTTGCACATCACATGCTATGAAGGTCATGTTCACCGCATTTTTTTGTTATGGTTTTCAACTTCGACTATAATGCTTATGGTCTTAAGTTTATTACAACTTTCGATCACTAATTTTGTTGGCTTCTCTAACACTAAATTATCCTCTCTTTTTTTTGCATTTACAACAGGATGGTTGCATTGTGTGCCCATCAACGGATAGTACATTTGATCTTAGAACCGGAGAGATCCGGGAATGGTACCCCAAAAACCCGGTTCTGAGAGTCTTGACACCTGCACTGAGAAAACTATTCGTTTACCCTGTCAAATTTGATGAAGAAAACATCTACATCAGCATCAGAGGCAACGGGAAAACCGATGCAGCTGCGGAGATCGTCTTCAGTGGAAAAGCTCAGCCTGGACTCACAGCAACAAATGTCAATGTAGACGAGGTAAGAGAAAAAGATAGACCTGAAATGTATATTATACTTCGTCTGAAAATAATAAAGAAAGAAAACACAGAGTGATGATAAATTTGTGAATCAGGTGAGAATGGTGGTGGACGAGGGTTCTGAAGGATTTGGTTTCTCGGCGAAGAACGAAGTGATAAACGGGAAAGCGGCAGTGATAGGGTTCTTGCTGCTGTTAGATTTTGAGTTGTTGACAGGTAAAGGTCTGTTGAAAGGGACAGGGTTCTTGGACTTCCTTTACTCTGCTTCAGATGCTTTCAAGTAGAGAGAGCGATATATATCTGTAAAGATGCTATCTTTGGTCTGGTTTTGCTTACCTCCTTGTGCAATTTGTGGAAGCATTATCCAACAAATGGAGATACAAAAAATACTTACTCACACCATATATAGAGATGGATGATTTTGTCTTTGATTTTGTGTGTTAGCCTCATATTCTTTGTTCTTTGTGAGTTACAAATTATGGCCTTCAAGCTTTTTCCCAGTATATGTTGTGTTTGACACACAACGCATCACATTAGCAAAACCCAACTCGACAAGAGAAACATGTACTTCTCTCGACGCTTATATTACTCAAAAGATGCATTTGAGTTCAATTGTAACACCACAACCAGTCTAAGTACAAACATCATGGTTTAAGTTTATGATGTAATATATAAAGAAAATTATCAATAGTACACATTATGCGGATTTAAATTATCAATAGCATAATTTAGGAGTGATTGTTTGTAAATTTGGATCAGCTATAGCGCGTGACGGGAACTCGAATATTAAGGAAGAAAAGGCAGGTCTTACCTTGTAGATAGTGAAGGAGAGAGTTGGATTGCATTCAAATTGGGTTGCTCCAAACTCCAAAGTGAGTGAGATTCCGTGCGAGGAATCTTTCTTAGTTCGTGTTTAATTTGTTTACCAATTTCATATCCTTTTTGCGTTTTCTGTGTGCAAAACGAAACCAGACAAAAACCAATTTTCTGTCTTTTAGTCAAACTCAGAAGTATTTTGAAAGAAAAGCCCCCCATATAAGACTATGTATGATTGCGTCATGCGTGATGGAATGTAGCACAAACCTCCAAAAAAGAAAGAAGATAGGCAAGTCTCATGTGTTTCACCACGTGATGTTGTAATGAAACTGCTTTATATTTTTCTTTAATTACACTTCGCCATCGAGTATGTGACTCTTACATGTTACCTCTAGTGTTATTTACGACGGATATATTTGTGTTTTTCTTTATATGGTCATGTAAATTTTTAAATTCAATCATCATTTTGATTAGCAGAAATTTAGAGTTTCGTCTCATTTAGTTACGTTTCTAAAACTACAAGCAGTTTGTAATATAACTAGTTTTAGCGTTTTGTTCAATAATTTAAATAATTTTTTGTAGTAAAAGACTGAGAGTATTATAATACTAGACCGTTTTTTATAACTTGTTTAAGATTTTTCTTGCTTTCAGTTTTGTTTAAGAATTTTCTACCAAATTATTTGGTTTTATATATTAAAATTTTATAACAATGTTAATTCTGTTCAGTTAATCTATTTAAGACCATCAATTTCGTTGTCGCTATTTGAATTTTCACTACAGTTTTAGACCCGCAACTAGATTTAATCAATCAAGCATTATGTCGAATGATCCATTTATATCCACCAACTTGTATCATGTTGAAAGTTTCATCTGTTTTTCCAGATTTGTATAAAGTTGATGTAAACTTTAAGGAACAAGTTGAAACACCAATCGGGTCGTCCTAGATAAAGAAAACATCAACCCTCAGGCACATGTCAATATCACATATTCCCCTGGTCATACCTTTGACTATTATTATATCTATACTCTAATCCAATTATATATTCAATCATACAATCCGATATGACTTTCTTCTCCTTCAACGTATTTATATTCAACACTTTTTCTCTCAAGATCATCAACTCACAAATGGATTCGAGAGATGCCGCAGAAACTCATCAGGCCAAGTACAAAGGAATCCGTCGCCGGAAATGGGGAAAATGGGTATCGGAGATTAGGGTTCCGGGAACTCGTGAGCGGCTCTGGTTAGGCTCTTTCTCCACCGCCAAAGGTGCCGCCGTAGCTCACGACGTCGCCTTTTTTTGCTTGCACCGACCATCTTCCCTCGACGACGACGTTTTTAACTTCCCTCACTTGCTCCCACCTTCCCTCGCCTCCAACATATCTCCTAGGTCCATCCAAAAAGCTGCCTCCGATGCCGGCATGGCCGTCGACGCCGGATTTGACGTAAACAACGACGGAGGAAGTGGTGGCGACCAAGATAGATCGTCGACGTCGTTCAGGGAGGAAGACAGCGAACGGGAAACGTTGAGCATCTCCGTGTATGATTATCTAGATGATGGACGTCGTGTTTGATCTACATATCGATTTTTTTTATACGAACACCTTATTTTTGATGAACATAGTATGTGAATAGAATTTGTTTTTTGTTTGGTTTTATATATATCCTCTGAATCTTTTGGCTACGTAAGCTTTCATTTCTCAGGTTTCTTTTCTTGTGATGTAGAGTATTCATCAAGAAAAAAAGAATTAAAGTTCAAAAAAAAAATTATTTATACATACATACGGACCGGTTTATTCAGCCCGTTAGAATATTTTTTTTTAATGGTTATATCCGAGTTTAATTAAGTTTTTGGTATAAATTAGATAGGAATGATTTTACATTTTAACATTTCGTAAAGGTATCAGGACCGAATTTAAAGAAAATAAAAAAAATTATCAGAATTGAAATGATTGTACATTCGCTAAAAATTTGAGTATAAAATCATATATATCAGGCTATATGTGATATAGCATTACTATGATTATTATCCAATATTTGTATTTTATATTTCAATATCTATTATTAATTAATTATAGAATTTTTATGAAGTTTGGTTATAGGATTTCTGTGCTTAGTTTCTTATAATAAGCTGTTTAGAATATTATTCAGTTTTTTTATAAAAAAAAAAGGTTTCAGAGAAAAATATTATCTATTTTTTTCGATTCAGACTTTTAGTAGATATTTATCAAATTTTTGATGAATTAAAAGAATTTGAATTACTTTTGTTTTTAAAAAAGTATTATCTAAACTCTTTTTTTTTGGGTCAAAATCTAAACTCTTATTTTATGTAAATAAATGAGTTCTTTGCGTTATTATGCATTATTTCTGATGTTGAGATGTATATTAATGAACATATTTGCATTGTAGAAAGATCTATGAAATATCTGAATTATTCTAACCACATTAAATAATATCTACAAATGTTTGTAAACATTAACAACTTATTTTTCTTTTTTGTACAAGCGATGAGCTTATTAGTATATGAAATCAAGAGATGCAAGTAATAAAATCAAACTGCAACCCAGTTTGCTCAACCAATGAATTAAGTCATCGAGTCACGAATTAACTGATTCGGACCAACCGTCTCAATGTTAACATTGCAAAACACTAAGTAGAGGTTATTGGTTCTTGTATTTTGGTGGATTTATAAATTTTCTTTAGATTTGATAGATTTATTGATTTCAAAATCAGCAAAATAGAAAAAAATTAAATCCACTCAAATACCAAGGTTAGACCTTGTATTTAGATCTTTGTATTTTAGTCATGAAAATCCTTCCAAATCGATTCAAATTCAATTAAAACTCAAATCTTTATAATATTTAGATTCTAAAATGATGAAACCAATAACACTGTATTTCATTATGGATTTTAAACTCATAGAACCAATAACACTGTATTTCAATATAAATTTTAAAATACAAGAACCAATAACACTGAATTTGGTTTGGATTCTCAAATCCATTAAAATACATAAACCAATAACACCTCCTAATTAGTTTATCTTCTTATTAAATTGTATTTAAATAACTTTATAATTATTGTTAACATATTATTTCCCTCATACAACACCCAGTCGAGCAGGATTTTGTCTAGATGCAAAGCATACGAGGCACATTTTGTGAGATTTCCCTCAATGCGGTTATGGTAGGCATGGTAGGCATGGTGGACTTGATGGCGGTGCTTTTGGACGCAGATGGGGAGTTGACTATCCTATGTGCTTGTAGATGAGTCATTTTAGACTGTTTTTCAGCAGTTTTTTACTTTTATTTTTGTTATATAACGTTATGAATAACATTTAATATTTTTATTTTTATTGTATAATAGTATGAATCACATTTAATATTTTTATACTTATTGTATAACAATATGAGTCACATTTAGTATTTTATTATTATATAATACTATAAAAAATATGCAAAATTTAACACTGTTTGTTTTTGCATTTAAATGCTTCATCTAGATGTAAATGCTCAATATTTAGATATTGCATTTGAAAGCAAAACCAATTACCAAAAATAACTAAAAATCTGGATATATTGAGATGTTAAAAAAAATAAAGTTTGGATGCAACATTTTTATTTTAAAATAGAAAAAAGCAAAACCATAGTTTCTAAATGTTGCAATCTATTGCAAGTCTTTTATCCAGCGAAATCATTTTTTTAATATTTCTTTATCTCAGCTTCTGGTTGTTCTTCTTCTAGAGAATAACCAAGAAATGATTGTTGCCGGGCTTTGCAAGTGGAAATGGGCCCATTGAACGAGACCAATAAGACCCAATTTCGACCGGAAGAAAGACAAAAATCAGGCTGTTGAGATTCCTTTGATCGCCTCATCATTATTTGTTTGACTCTTAAGGAAGAACAAAGAGACATAGTTGAGTGGCACGCACGTTCCATTTTTCTATGACAACAAACTCACAAAAACGTGAGAGAGACAACAAAAAAGATGAGAGTTTTTGGTCGCCGACCATATCTCCAGAGTAGAGAAATAGATAAAGCAAATCGGCAAAACTCAAGCTTCTTCCATTAAGTAGGAGTTTTGAATGGTTGTTTGTTTGTAAATGGGTTGTATTTGCGCCACCGCGCGTTCTCCAAACGCCGCCGTTGCCAACAATGACCTACTAGATTCCAGCAAATCCATCCTTCATCTCATCCCTCATCCACCGTCGTCGTCAGCTTCTTCATCCAAAAAGGAAGGATCTTTCACACGTCCCACTCCTACAGCTTCCATCACCGTCGTCGCCAATGGTTACCCAGTGGTGCGTCGTCCCTCCACGTCATCTGATCGAAACAGCAATAATAAACCAGTCGTTGTTATCGGAGCTCCCACCAAGAACCCCACCAGAAGACTCACGGCTATCCCCGTGGCGCAGCCTACACAGCAGCCAGGGAGTTTGGCCGGAATTAAAACAGAACCCGCCACCGCAGAATGGCCGTCTTGGCTGGCTTCTGTTGCCGGAGAAGCTATCAAAGGATGGGTTCCTCGCTGCGCAGATTCCTATGAGAAGTTGGACAAAGTTAGTTGATCTTTCAATGAAAGAAGTCAAATCTTTTTTGCTCTTTGAAACTCTCTCTTTGTGACCTGAAATAGCAATTTATGCTGTGTGTGTTGTTGTAGATTGGACAGGGGACTTACAGCAGCGTGTACAAAGCAAGAGACCTGGAAACGGGAAAGATTGTGGCGATGAAGAAGGTTCGGTTTGTGAATATGGATCCAGAGAGTGTCCGGTTCATGGCCAGGGAGATTCTTATTCTTCGTAAGCTTGATCACCCTAATGTTATGAAGCTTGAAGGTCTAGTCACCTCTAGACTCTCAGGTAGCCTCTACCTTGTCTTTGAGTACATGGAACACGATCTTGCAGGTCTTGCTGCAACCCCTGGAATCAAATTCTCTGAACCTCAGGTATTACATATTCTGTTTCTTTCTGTAAGAGTTATTACTATTCTGAATATTCAAATGAGAAGAGAGGCTTACTTTGTTTTCAGATCAAGTGCTATATGCAGCAACTGTTCCGTGGGCTTGAACATTGCCACAGACGAGGAATCCTCCACCGTGATATCAAGGGATCAAATCTCTTGATTAACAACGAAGGTGTTTTGAAGATTGGTGATTTCGGATTGGCGAATTTTTACCGGAGTGATCGAGATCTGCAGCTGACAAGTCGCGTTGTAACCTTATGGTACAGAGCGCCTGAGCTCTTGCTCGGTGCCACTGAGTATGGACCAGCTATAGACCTGTGGAGCGCCGGCTGCATTCTCACCGAGCTCTTCGCCGGAAAGCCTATCATGCCAGGACGCACAGAAGTAATCGAACTCTCTAAAACACATTTTTTAAAACGTTTCGTAGGAACACTTTCTTAGCACAGCTGGTGAGATGATAACCCTTGATGCTTTGCTTCTCAGGTGGAGCAGATGCACAAGATCTTTAAGCTCTGTGGTTCACCCTCGGAAGATTACTGGAGAAGAGCAACTCTGCCACTTGCAACAAGCTTTAAACCGAGTCATCCTTACAAGCCTGTTCTTGCTGAAACCTTCAGTCATTTCCCTGCATCAGCTCTGACACTCATCAACAAGCTACTGGCAATAGAACCTGAGAAACGTGGATCAGCTGCTTCTGCCTTGAGGAGCGAGGTAATATATAATGATACTAACCAGAGAGATCCATATCAAGTTGTTAGATGCATTCTCATAATGATCACTTAAAAAAAACTTTCTTCTCTTCAGTTCTTCACCACGGAGCCACTCCCTGCTAATCCATCAAACTTACCAAGATACCCACCAAGCAAGGAACTTGACGCTAAGCTCCGCAACGAAGAAGCAAGAAAGTAAGGCTGTTCATGACATCCTCACTTCACTGTTACTTCTCTCTTGTGTAGCTTTTCTCATGGCATTTTCGGTTGCAGACTAAGAGCAGAGGATAACAAGAGAAGAGGGGGAGAAACTGTGACAAGAGGACGACCCAAGGATCATAAAACTGCTCAGACGCCTGAGTTTATGGCAGCGGGGCAGTCAAAAGTCACGTGCATCAGCCATAAGTTCAAAACAGACGAGGAAGGTGGCACCGGTTTCAGGATCGAACCACCTAGAAGAGGGATCCAGCAGAATGGTCACGGTCATGCTTCTTCAATGGTTCACCCAAGTGTGGCTAACACAGAATGGAACAGAGGTGGAAGCATCAAAAGGCAAACGAATGCAGAGCTCAAGTCTAGGATATCACAAACAGGAGACTTGTCTGGTGATTCTTATAGAAGAGGTTCCAATAGAGATTACTCAACAGTAAGCCTCTCATTTTTTAGCTATTTTGTGTAGCTTAAACCTGTTTAGTATGTAATCGTTTTGAGTTGTGTCAGGGAAACGCACCGAGGAAGAACAGGATCCATTACTCAGGACCGTTGATGCCTCCTGGAGGAAATCTTGAAGATTTGCTGAAAGAGCACGAGAAGCAGATCCAACAAGCTGTCCGCAAAGCCCGCGTGGAGAAGTCTGCAACAAATAAAAACCAAGCTTTAACAGGGCAACAGCAGCAGCAACGTTACACAGGAAGAAATGGTCGGTAGCTAAAAGAGGAAAGGAATATAAAAAAACACCATAGCACATGTTTTTAAGGTTTTTAATCAAAGCCATAGAAAAACTCATAAGCGTTTTTTGTTTTGTCAGTGATTGATGCAATGTATAGTCAAAAATTTGTTTCCTTAGGCCAACGAGGTTGACCACACTATAATGTCAAACTTCCTTTTTATTTTGTATATACACAACACAAAATGTCTCTTGTTGAGTTGAGTCAAGCAAAAACATGTATTTTGCAACAGAAGCAAAACAACTCCAAATTTGCTACTAACTGTAATTACCGAACAAGCTTCTAGAGAGATTACAATACCTTTTTGCTTAAAGAAGTTGGCTCACGATATCGCTTGTTCGAAGCAGAAACTGGAGATTCAATCTCCGTATGAATCAAGCTCAACTTCTGCGAATAACCTCTACATTCTGCTAACACGAAGCCGCTTGAAAAGATGATAAATCCTTCAATCCTATCGCCATCTTCCAGCTTTGTACGTAGATCAAAAACCACAAAACTTCACTGCAATCCCCAGAACCAAATCAAAAGCCTTAAACTCTGAATTCGGATAATTAATGCTAGTATTCGGGTTTGGATCATTTAGAGACCTATCCGAAGTATACGGGTTGGATAGTCCGGGTATTCGGGTTGAATCTGAATAATTCGGCTACTTTAAATTTTAGTGGGTGAATGCAAAACGTTTGAGTTCCAAAATCTCTTTATTTATTTGTTTTTTTTACAGTTACAAAATTGTATTATAAAATATATATATACTTTCGTGTATACCATTAAAAAGAAATACTGAATGTCAAAATTAAAATTATATTTATTTGTCTTTTTTGTCGCTTAAATAGATTTATTTGCCTAACTTCGGTATTTTTTTTTTAATGTTGTGTTATACAATTGGTATTGGTAGAGAGAGAGAGAGAGACTTTCATGAATTTTAAGAGAAAGGGTGTTATTGAGATGTGGGAACGCGAGAAAACATCGGGACGAGTCAGGCTAAAAATGAGGGTAAATAAATTAAGAAGAAGAAGACCAGAGTCGTTGGATTTGCGTGTGACTTTTAAGTTACGAGATTAACCGCAGACTCGTTCAAAAGACCATCCTCACTTTCCTAAGATCCAAGTAAAATCAAATTTACTTTCACCCTATTTACCTCTCTATTTAAATCTCTTCACTTCTTCAATCATCTCATTAACCAGTAATTACTCTTCTCTTCTTTTTTATTTTTTTGTTGTTTTCTTCTCTATACATATTTTGTATTTGAAAAAAAAAAAAAAAATACATATCCCTGTATTTTATTTTTTTTTGTGGGTATTAAAGAAAACACAAGACAAGAATGACATACAATGCGCCTCCTCCAGCGGTAATAGGCTTTTGTCTGCCTTTAAATTATCTTTTCTCTTATCTTATGGTATTAGTGTCGAGTTTTGGTTCGAATCATGTAGTTTCATCAATAAGACTAAACATTTTATCATATTTTTCCTCACTTTATATCATTTTCTGCTAAAGAAATGTAAGGTTTCAATTTTTTTTTTTGGTGCTCTTTAGAACGACTAATAGAAAGTAATCATGATCATTTAAATCTTTCTTAAAAAAATTACCCATGAACTATAATCATTTATTATGCTAAATAAATTCTTGAAACGACAAGATATGGTAACTCAACAGTTTTTTTTGGGATATTTAGTATCATCTATAAATTAACATATCTTGATCAGGAAGATGAGGAGAACAACGCAAGATCGACGGAGAATAATCATCGGCAAATGGATTACAACGATTGGTTACCGGTAACGGCGTCTAGGGAGGGCAAGTGGTATTACTCTGCCTTTCACAATGTCACGGCCATGGTCGGCGCCGGAGTTCTCGGTCTCCCATTCGCCATGTCACAACTTGGCTGGTACGTTTTCAGATAATGTTTTTTTTTTTTTTTTTTTTTTCTCTTCTTCGCAAAATAAACGATGGAAATAAATATTATCTAACAGGGGACCTGGACTTGTTGCAATAATGTTATCATGGGCTATAACGTTCTATTCGTTGTGGCAAATGGTGGAGTTGCACGAATCTGTTCCCGGGAAACGGTTAGATCGTTATCCAGAGCTAGGCCAAGAAGCGTTCGGACCAAGACTAGGTTACTGGATCGTCTTGCCTCAACAGCTTCTGGTCCAGATGGCTTCCGACATAGTTTACAACGTGACGGGAGGCAAATCGCTTAAGAAATTCGTCGAGCTTCTTTTCCCTAATCTCCATCATGTACGTCAGACTTATTACATCCTCGGATTCGCCGCGTTGCAGATCGTCCTCTCTCAGTCTCCTGATTTCAACTCTATCAAGATCGTCTCTCTTCTCGCTGCACTCATGTCTTTCTTGTATTGCCATCAAACCCTAACACAAAACAAAAACAAAAACAAAAATCCTCTGTTTTTTTGTTTTTGTTTGTCTTGATCTCTTTGAAATTTGTTTTGCAGTTACTCAATGATAGCGTCTGTAGCGTCAATAGTGAAAGGAACGGAGCATCGTCCATCGGAGTACGGAGTCAGAGGAGACACGACGGCTGCAATGATTTTCGACGCGTTTAACGGTATAGGAACAATAGCGTTTGCGTTTGCAGGACACAGTGTGGTTCTTGAGATCCAAGCAACAATTCCTTCAACACCTGAAATCCCATCGAAGAAACCAATGTGGAAAGGAGTCGTCGTCGCTTACTTGATCGTCATCGTTTGTTACCTCTGTGTGGCTATCTCCGGTTTCTGGGCTTTCGGTGATCTTGTTGAGGACGATGTTCTCATTTCCCTTGAGAGACCTGCTTGGCTTATAGCTGCTGCTAATTTCATGGTCTTTATCCATGTCATCGGAAGTTATCAGGTTCTAGTGTCTTTCTTGTTATGTTTCTTTTCTGAAATGTGATTTACAATGTAACTGATGGATCCTCTTGGTAGGTTTTCGCCATGTCGGTGTTTGACACGATCGAGTCATATCTGGTGAAAAATCTTAAATTCACCCCTTCGACAACACTGCGTCTAGTCGCACGTAGCTCATACGTTGGTTAGTTCTCATTTAGCTTATTTTTTTTTTCACTTTTTTTTTCTGGAGAAATGGAAAACTGAGATATTCATTCTTGGGTTTGTGCAGCATTGATATGTCTTGTAGCGGTTTGTATCCCATTTTTCGGAGGTCTTTTAGGGTTCTTCGGTGGCCTCGTCTTCTCATCAACATCGTACTTTGTAAGCCACACTACAAAAGGAATGAACATATATCTCTGGTTATTTGCAAATATTAAACGTATGTTTTACCTCTGTAATATGCAGCTGCCTTGCATTATATGGTTGATCATGAAGCGACCAAAACCATGGAGCATGCATTGGTTTTTCTCTTGGGTTAGTTTTTTTACTTTCTTGATTCCACATGGTTCAGTCTAACATTAACTTAAAACAACTCTCTAACACGTTGCTTAATTTAACCACAGATAGCAATAATCATTGGTGTCTTGATAGCAATCTTTGCGCCAATTGGAGGAATGAGACACATTATCCTTTCAGCAAAAAGCTACAAGCTCTTCTCATAGGCTTCAAAAGCCCAAAGCAACCACCATCACAACAACTTTAAAATGTTTTAACTTAGCCGTCTAGTTTTGGAATACATAGTTAGAATATTTGGATCTTCTTTTGTGTTTCTCTCGTTTCATTGAGTGTGTCTTGTTTTTTTATATAACCATTCCATCAAGAACTGCCTTATGAATTGCTCCTGGATATCCATGAAGGCTCTAGAGTCTGAGGCTGTGACAGATGTTCTCTCCAACCAGTCATGTAAAATCACCTACAAAGGAATATCATACGATTTGTGGGCTCTCAACTTGCAGATTTTTTAGCATATTTTTCTTTTTCATTTCAAGCTTATAGATTTTTCTACTGCGGGTAAAAAGACTAAATGGCTGTGTAGCACTCAAAGCTTTTGGTTTTGGATTGTAATAAAACATCTATATAATGAGTTTGGCTTTCTGTTTCCCGGTGTTGAGTTTGTATCGTATGCGTGTATTCACCAACCTTAAAAATGTAGCAGCTCACAGTGGGAGTCTTATATGTTTCAGACTGCACTGAAAGATGTAAAAACAGAGAAACAATCTTAGATTAAAAAATTATTCTAGGTTGCAAAGAAGGTGTAATTAGAGTATTTAACAAAAAGAAATGATCTCATATTTACCTTTGTTCAAGTTTAAAACTGTTTGGTGTTCCAAGTTTGACTATTGTAATATTTGTAATGGTGTAAAAAAAATTATTGTATTGTAATTTGTAACTGCTATATATTACTCTTTAACCTTTTAATTTTTGTCCTATAAGGTGAGGACACCAAAGCCTTAAGTAACTATCACATTATTATTGCTTGTATCGACGAATCAGTTTGGGACACACCGATAATATCAAGCAACCACATGGACAAAGCTAAAAAGAGAAAATTAACATCTTTGTCTGTTTGTCCCCTTGATATTACTAATAAGTAATAGTAACACAAAGACCTTCCTTCCTCTGTAGTAAATAAACTGTAACGCCTCTCATTACAAGCAACGAGAAATTAGCATAATCTCTCTCCAACACAATGACGACTAATCTCCCATTTCCGATTTCCATGAAACTCATCCTCTCTAGCTTTGCGTCTCTCGTGGCAATCACTCTCTTCTTCATCACCACAACCAATTTCTCACCGTCTTCATTTCAGCCGGCGCCGGAAAACACTCTCCAGATCTCCAACTCCTCCACCGGAACTGAATCACGTAGCGCAGAATCCACGAGTTGCGGTAAGATCCCTCCTTCGCTCGCCGATGCTCTCGTTCACTACGCCGCCTCCAATGTCACTCCTCAGCAAACACACTCTGAAATCTCCGTCACCAAGAAGGTAACCAACACTAATCGCATGCATTAATCTAAATTAAGTTGGCCTATAACAAGATGTCAAGAACATTTCATTCGGAAAAAAATCAATATGTTGAGTAAATTTAATGATTGGAGCATAATTAATATGGTTCGTATTTGTGCTGTAGCCATAATTCAAGGTATTTGTAGACGAGTGTATGTGTGTGAAAAGTGAAAAGTGAAAAGTGAAAACTGTAGACGGAAAAAAAACAGTAGAAATATGAACAAATCAAATTGCAACAGGTGTTAGAGAAGAAATCGCCGTGCAACTTTCTGGTATTTGGGTTGGGCCTGGACAGCTTGATGTGGGCTTCGCTAAACCATGGAGGAAGGACTATTTTCTTAGAAGAGGACGAGTCATGGATCCGCCAAATCGCCGAGAAATTCCCGTCTCTGGAATCGTACCACGTCCGGTACGAGACCAAGGTGAGAGACGCGACGGCTCTAATGTTGACGGCGAGAGACAGAGAAGAGTGCCGTCGCGTGTCGACGGATCTTAGGGTTTCTGAGTGCGAGCTTGCGCTGAAGAGCTTACCGGATGTGGTTTACGAGACGGAGTGGGATTTAATCATGGTGGATGCTCCGACGGGGTTTCACGAAGACGCTCCGGGGCGGATGACGGCGATCTATACGGCGGGGATGATCGCAAGGATCCGAAAGGAAGAAGGAGAGACGACGGCGATTTTCGTGCACGATGTAGATCGGACGGTGGAGGATGAGTTCTCTATGACGTTTCTGTGCAGAGATTACATGACGGTGCAACAAGGAAGGCTCCGCCATTTTACGGTGCCGAGTCACCGGAACTCTGGTGTCTCCGGCGGTAATTTCTGTCCCTGATCCGCCGAGGATAAACAAATTATTTCTGTAAAGGCCTTTTCTCTTCTGTATTTCATTGTTAATATACCTAAGCAAAACCAGTAGATTTGAGTTGGAACGTTTGGTGAAACATTTGACAATTTCAAAACGTCTGAACGAAACTCAAAAAACGTTACAAAAAAAAACAAATTACAAAGACAACACAAAGATTTTAAATTTTCTTTTGTTGATTTGTCTTCATAATCCTTTGGTCTCTTTAATTGAGACTAGCCAGTTCCTGAATGTTGATAGGAAACGCCACAGTGCGGTCACCAGCAAACGCTTTTTTGGCCATTATGAGATTAACTTTCTCCGTCGGATGAAACGCGTCCCAAAACAGATACTGATCTCTGTTTGGACAAGGCGTTTCAAACGGAAGACAAGTGATCTGTCCTCTGTTCCTTCCTATCCCACAACATCCCTTGTCCAAAGTAGTAAACCCTACAAAAAAAAAACCAACACACCGTTATCAGATATTAATTAAGAGCTGTGGTCTTAATTAGCTAGATTAGCACTTGTTAATTACCATAAGTCGCTGGGTTAGCGATGATGTCTTCATACATTTGAGCGATATCGAGGTAAATGAACTTAGAATCCGGGAGATTCTGGTTGAGATTAGAGATCATTGTTTTGACGTTTGTGTTGAAAGGAAGAACAAGCTGGTTCACTTCGGCCGAGCATTTACCGTCGGTTCCTTGAGACAGAATGCTCGGAATGCATCCCATTCTCCCAAGTCCGGCCACTACAAATTTCCTACCACCAAGATTATACAGTCTCTGCATGCATTATTACCCCACAAAAGAACAATTAACACATTTATGATTAGCTTCTTGCTTAATTAGTAGTATTAATTTTGATGTATTACGGTGAGCTGGTTGGCGTAATGCTGAACCAAGAGATCGCCGAATTGTTGGGCGTTGAATTGGTTACGGGTAGGGAAATTGGGCATCAAGTAATTGTTGAGATAGTCGTTGCTTCCCATTCCGATGAAGAACAAGCTTCGAGTCACCGAGTCTGCAATGGCCACTGCACCACCGGACTTGCTCGCCACCTGATTTAACGTTGTCTCGAAGTTATGAATCTGCTGGTCGAACGGTATGCGCCCCATCTGACCACCGTAACATATAAAACTCAGGGTTACATAATTAATCCTCGCAATAGCCGGGGCATGCATCGTTATTTTTCTTTGTACCATGTGTAACTGTTATGTCATGAACATACACACGGTCATTGTGACCATCCCCGCCGTATAGTATTTGAGTTGATTTTGATCTTCTTTTTCCTTCATGATTTTTTTTTTGGTTGCTTTACCAATAATTTGAAAAGTTTTGGATAAAAATAATTAATAATTTTATAATGTTGAGCTAAAATTAAATAAATCTCATCAATGCAAATTTAAAAATAAAATAAAATTTAAACTTTTGAAAAAACAAAGAGATCTTCAAAGTATTGGAAACTAAAGGAAATAAATTTGAGGTATACTATATATCAGAAAGCTGTATGTATGTACTTGTTCTAAAATGTATACAAACATATAATATTAAAACAAGAAGTAAAAAAGGAAGGAGTACAGGGCTATAATCAAACTTACGAAGTTTCCTCCGGTGTCAGGAAGAATCCCCGCGGCTGCAGAAGCGTAGTTGACACCACGAATAACTTGATCTCCGGTAGCTTCCGAGTACGCCGGAATCAATGGCAGCCCCAATAGCTGAGCTACATGATGAGTACATGCATGCATCAAATCATCATATCATATATATGACACCTTTCATATATCAGCCTCACCCAAACTTAAATCACTTTTCACTTTCTTTTTACGTTTGAGGAGGAAGGAATTAAGGCTTTTAAGAGCAAAGAAAAAAAGAACTAAAATATCATATATATACACTTGTTATATTATATACGTAGACATGCACTAAGACATACCAATCCCATCGACCATGGTTAAGCCATTGCAAAACCGACCGGTCGGACCGCCATTGAAGTCGATGCCATAAGGAAAATAATTGGCTTTAGCAAACGAAGGGATGTTATTGTTATTCCCATTGTCTATGAGAGAGTCACCGAAGACAAACAGAGCCGGCACAAGGCCATCCCCGCTGGATTGGTCCACTAATGGGGGCGTAGGAGCAGAAATAGGTTCCTCAGCCACAACTAATGGAGGCGGAGGAGTAGAAACAGGTTCCTCAACCACAACAAGTTGGCCGGAGACACCATGCAGAAGTTGGAGAACCACCGCGAGAAGAGCTGGGAAGTAGTAAAGTCGCCGGGAGTGGAAAGCCATTGTAAAGTTGTTTGAGTCTGAGAGGTGTAAATTGATTTTGTAGGGTTAAATTTTGGGAGAAGGAAAAATAGAATTGGATAGATTTATAGAGGAAGAGAGAGAGGGGTTTGGTGAAGAGAGTAGTAAATGTGTGTATCCGTCTTCTACCACACAGTAACAGCAGCCACTCACGAAGTCACGATAATCTCATTATAAGAGTTATGGTATACATGCATTGTTTAATCATGCATCTCTATAATCATTATACAATCCTGTATATAATTAAAATAGACATTAGTTTTTTTTGGGTCAGGAAATAGACATGATTTATACCCATGTTTGGAAGTGAAATGATATACGTACGTATGTAGATCTGTGTTGAAAGGTATGATCAATATTAAGTGTAGTTGGATTAGTGAAAATTTGCAAGTGCTTAATCAGTTCAACTCAACAAAATCTCATTTGCGAATGATTAATTTTGTTAAGCTCATTGAAAATAACTTTCATAATTAACAGTTGATTAAAAAGAGGCAAGCAAACCAGGAAAAAAACACATTTTAATAGTAACAATTTAAAAGAAAAATTTGAAAAACAGAAAAAGATAAGAAAAGCAACGTTGCATTCAAATTGTCGATATTCTCAATGACATTTAAGCTTTCAAGGTCAGACAATCGTGAAGACCAATGATATCGAAGAAGAGAGCAGAACAAGCAACAAATAAAGTCTCTTCTTATTCAAAATGATGGTTGTGGATTTTAGTACTGTATATCTATCTCTTGATCTATTAATTTTAGGGTTGACTTTTAATGTTTTGAGTTTTGACTGCGATAAAAAAGGGGACCCAGTAAATGGCAGTCCTTTTCTGCCATAAATAGTCCAATCGCATGTTAGACCACTTAAAAAGTTTCCACATCTGTAGCTTTGGAATCAAGTCAAACAATTTTCGACTTTGTGTTGAAATTCTATTTTTCCCTACGACTATCATTTTTCGACGTTAGACTTTTCATCATGGATAATAACAGTGTAAATACACTAAAAAAAAGATGGTAGGTATCAGATCCTCAGTTAAACCCATACCAAATAATAATCCATAAGTTCCAAACATAATAGATATAAACTTGAAAGAGTTTAAGTACACACCACACTTGTAGTCATTTCATTGCTCACACCAACAAATTAAAAACAAGAGGAAAAAAATACAGATAGTTTACACCAGCCTAGCAAAGTACCACAGGCTTTATTATAATTATGTGTGATTTAACAACACCAATTATACTTACCAAGATTATCTGAATTCTAAGACATAGTCTTCAAATATCCTATGGTCTAGAACTGAAATATTTCACTTGGCATGGTTAGCGGATAAGAATAGTTAGACTCCACAGTTGCGAAGTTAGCATCTAGTATGCTATTGTTGTTCTCCTCTATCTGCATTAATGCACCCAAAAAACAAAACAAAGCAAAAATCATTAGGGCAAAAGTAGTCTAAACTAAATCTTACCGGAATAGTGTGTGACTATAACTCAAGAGATACATATATGAATGTAACTAATTCCGCTGATAGATCTCCAATTTCATAAAATGTGCTATGATAAGAATGTTATAGTGATTTTATGTTACCTTTTCGAGGAGATACTTATTGGTATTTTTTAAGACTCCCTCCTTCACACACCAAAAATAAAACCCGTTTAGTAACGTTTTGCGTTCAGTTTTTATAAACCAAAATCACGACTCATACTAACTGTAATAAAGCTGAATATACAATGATGTTTAAGTGCTTACCTTGTTCCTCAAGGACTGGATCTCTTGAAGCATAATCTCCATCTGTAAATTAATTTTACATATAAACTTCAAATCTATATATATATATATATAATTAAACATATAAACCCTTCTAATCATCAATATCTTATATTCACGCTCCCAAACATATATGCATCAATGCATGTATACCTTAGCAGAGCGAATCTGAGAAATCCAATACTCAAGATGCTTCTCAAGCAAAAGAAGTTCTTCAAGATTCATGACCCCATCTCCTCCTCCAAACATATACCTGGATCCATTAGATTTATCATTCTTATACATATATATGTAAGAATTAATAACTTCATAAGATAATATAGTGTGTAAATAATCTACCTTATTCCTTTCTGAAGCATCTCAATCTCTCGCTTTAGCACATTGATCTCATCTTTCGGATCCTAGAACATGATTGTTTGTTTCAATGTTTCTATTATTTGTAAATAATAATTCAAAGCTAATGCAAGTTTTTTGAAGATGCTGAGTTCCAAATAGCGACCATGTCCGCAGGTACGTGTATGCATCAATAAAATAAATAATAGTTCAGAGAGTGTCTATGACAATAGTTTAGGGCAGCCTTTTTGAGTGTTCAGAGCAACTTTTATCTAAAGGTTGTGCTAATTAATAAAACCAATAATACAACTTCGTTCGAAATATAATGTAATTGATTACTAAATATACAAATATTTTAAAGTGTGATATGTGCATTGTCTATAAAAGCATCTTTTACTTTTACAGTAATCAATTTGACTTGTTTTGGTTTTATTTTAATTACAACGTTTTTTTTTTTTGAACATTTGCTTACTTTAATTACAACGTTCCACAATACTATGTGATTTCCTCACACTAGTCGACAGAGAATGGGAGAGCCAGGTGCATTGAATGTTTACTTCAATAACTATTTCATGAAGAATCGGAATCAGGTGCCCTACCTAACTTACTGACTAATTTAATTTCAAATCAATTAACAACGTCCAACAAGTTTCGCTTGCATGTCAACACGTGTTATCAATTTGCATATTAAAATACTACTTTAATGGAAGTTACCACAAAAGAACGAATTAGAGATAAGCGATTATCAATTTATATTTATATATATATATATATATATATATATATATGACATTGAGCACCGACTAGTTTTAATCAACCCAAAAAGCCTTATTAAACAAACAAACAAATTCAACAATCAATCCCAACAAATATCAAAAGAGAAAAGTTCGATATGTAATAAATTAAAGAATGAAAATGAAAGAGAAGAGAGACGTACAAGATTTGGGGGTTGAAGTTGTTCTTGAGCAGTAAAAGTAGCAGAAGAAGAACCACGACCACCACCAGTACACTTCATGTACTTATCAATCATCCCCTCCATTGTTCTGATTTTTAAATCAAATTCACATATATATAAGTTACTCTTTGATCATAAATTAATAAACAAATATAATCACTATAAGATGTATAATAATACCCTTTAGTAGCGAGCTCAAAGAGCTTGCCCTGAGGAGAAAAAATCACAACACCAATCTCGGCGTCGCAGAGCACAGAGAGCTCCTTAGCCTTTTTGAGAAGGCCGGTTCTCCTCTTGCAAAACGTCACTTGTCTGTGAACCGGGTTCTCGATCCTCTTCAGCTGAATCTTTCCACGAGCCATCTCTATCTGATGATTTAACGTTTGTATTTGTGTTTTGGATTTGAAGTTTGAAACGTGGAACAACCTCCCACTAGTTTGAACTAGCTTCGAGGTTACCCACTTACTGTTTGGTTTCTCTTTTTTTCTTGGGAGAAAACTTTAAAGTTATGACCAAACTCCTGCCACCTTCTTCTCTTTATATATAATCTCCATTATCAGATTCTCCCACTCACTTCTCTGCTTCTTAAAGCACCTTTTGTTCTCCACACAAGCCTCCTTTTCTCCTATAAATAATATATATATATATATGCGCTCATATATGTTCTATGTTTAAGTATGCATTCATACAAAGTATATATCTTTACATGCGAAAGCTCCATGTAAAGCATTATAGTGTTCGTTATTTTATGGGTTTGTATATTGTACTAGCCCTTTCTTCTCTAGCTTGTTTAAAATTAACTTCTAGGCTATATTTGATTGATTGATCTTACATCGGATGTGACACATGACCTGACATGCACTAATTGATACAAAACCCAACTCTATTTAACAATCCAATATGTTTAATCCGGATATATGATCTATTTTAATAGGTTAATTCTAAGTATAGTGTCCCTTCGGAGACAACCATATAAAATTAAAATGATAAAAAGAGACTAGCATATGGCTCGCGCGTGAGTAAAGATATATGACATGGTCCAAATTTGTTGCACAAGACGTTGGAGATATCTTTCATCAGGGTATATCTTCTATGATAAATTATCATTGATTAATCTTTCGTATCGGTTTTCAAAAGAGATCAAAATTATGAATGACCGATCATTATTGGAACTTTTACCTTTGAATGAATAACTATTTATCTTTTTTTTTTGCTGAAATGAATAACTATTTATCAATAGATGTTTTATGTTTACATGAAGAAATGACGTGATGGTAAATAGCGAACACATCAATACTTCAAGCCTTCAACCTCCAAGGCCGTCGTCGGTTGTTCGCATGGAGGTGTCTCATATCATTCGTAGTCGAATCACCTCTTATCCACTACAAAACAAGGTTTATATTTCAAAATTGAGAGTAGTCTAAATATCTAACAAATACCCACGAAATGATCGCTAGAATATAATGTTACATGGTTCCATTTTAGTACTGAACAGTTGATTAAATTTGCATGTAGTTAAAAATTTGAAACTAATTCAAATTAACATGTATATGTTTTTTTTTTTTTTTGGATGGGTAAGTTTTTTTTTTAATTAATCCTAGCGTGTATTAATTAAAAAAACATTGCGATAAAAAAAATTGTTCTAAATTAATCACCACACACATTATATTTTTATTCAAATTTTATTTTTTTAATATTTGAGAAGATAAAAGGCGCAGAAAAATCGTACTTTTAATACTTAATTACAAAATATGTCATTATACATTTATGTTGGATCAGTATATAAGTTATGATATTATGTATAACAGTTGATGGAAACTAGCTCATCTCAAAATTAATTGATAATATTAATGATTAATTGATTATAAATTTATAATGACCCATATTTTTGTTTCTCACATTTATCGACTTTGAATTTTTTTGAAGTTCTTAACCCACTTTTAACCACTAAAGAAAAATTAAAGGATGGTAATTAAGC